TCAAGTTGTGTCAGGGGAGGTTTAGATTGGATATCAGGAAAAATTTCTTTACTGAAAGAGTGGTCAGACACTGGACCAGGCTGCCCAGGGAGGTAGTGGAGTCACCATCCCTGGAGGTGTTCAAAAAATGTGTAGATGTGGCACTTCGGGACGTGGTTTAGTAGGCATGGTGGTGTTGGGGTGACGGTTGGACTTGATGATCTTAGAGATCTTTTCCAACCTAAGACTCTGTGATTTACAAGAACAGAGCAAAAACAAGAGCTGAACTGAGATCAGGCAGAAAGATCATGAAAAGATACGTAGGCAAGAGGTATGAACAGATAAAGAATTAATCACGCACACAGTAGTATTACTAGACAAAAAAAGTCGAGATAACCTTTCTGAACTTCATCTGCGTCACCCAAAAAAAATGACAAACCACGGCAGTTCAGAGCACCCCACACAGAACAATCCTGCTCTGGCCAGGAGATAAACATAGGTCATCCATTCTCTCGTCATCTCTAATACCCATGTTCCTTTAAATAATCAGCCACTATCTAAATCTTTATTAAGACCTCAATCCTCTGATCATGTGGAGTATAATTCTCAAAGTATTACCAGCTCTGCAAAAGACTTGCTATTGCCTACGCATCTTATGAAGTCTGGTTAAGTATTTCTATCACTTCCCCAGAGAAAGCCTGTAGTAAATCTTACTGAAACTGCATATAAGCTTGGTAGCAAGTATTGCCTGCTACACAACAGAAAAGTGACATTTTTCCTTACTGGAGTAGATAAGCAAAGGAAAAAAAAAAAAAAAAAAAGAAGGAGCACCAGCAAACTAACAGTTACATTACTTTACACAAGAGTCACGACTCAGGGCATCCCACTGACAAGCACAGTATAGCAGAGAGGCTGGTGAAAACTCTTTCTTCACCAAACACTCCCAAGTCCTGCCTACACAGAAAATCATTGGTTGTGATTCACTTCTGCAGCACAGATTGAACTAACCCAGCTCTGGATCTGTTTGTCCTTAACAGTACTTTCAGTTAAAGTATGTACAGAATTGTCTTGGAAAACAAAATTATTAAAACAAATAAAAATCAAGATGAAATCCTTCTACCTTCCTCCTGGCGAGAGGACGTTCCTTCACCTAAAAGCCCCATTACTCACACTGCTGTCCCACGAGGCTTGCAAGTTCTCTAACACAAACGTAACCCTTGCAGAGCTCTGGGCTGCAAGAGGAGCAGGGTGCTGGCTGCTCCCCCAAGTAACTCCTCCTCAGCAGTCTAACTGTCTGACCACACAGCCTACCTCTACTTTTCTGCAGTAGTTCGACTTTTGAGCATCATGTTATAAAGCGAATTGTGACTGACGTAACAGGCAAGGTCAGGAAACAAAGTTCAAAGTTCAACAGCCTAAAATACTCCTTAGAAGACCCCAAAACTCTATCGATTCAGACAACAGCAAAATCAACTCTTTTCTTTTTTTTTGAAGGGCAAGTATTTGTTCACCATCTTTAAAATTATTTTGATAGACAAACAGATTTTTCCCAGATTTCTGGAAAAGATTTGAAAAATTACCCGTAAGAGATCTGTTGATGATGGCCTTTCCTGAGGTATTTTCTGTAAGCAGTAATCAACAAATCCCCTAAAGGAATCTGACCTGTAAATGAAGAAAAAAAAAAAAAGGTTCTAAATAAAAAAGAAGCCTAGAATCTAGAATATATGCAAATTTATTAGTGAAGAGCAGAAGAAAAACCTTGACTAATTTGTTCTTAAGTTCCAGGGCAGAGATAGTAACTGGACTTTTCCAAATTCTAAGTTGATCCCATCAGTTCTTTCAACAGTTAAAAGACTGCTGAAACAAACATGGACCACATTTATCCCCAACCACA